GGTCAGCAGTGGAAGCTAGAAAGTCTGTGCCAGGATAAAGGAGCTGTGCCAGCAGGCTGAGGGTTCTGCACTGCAGCCAGGAAGCGATGCTCAAAGTAAGGACCAGGGCTCCCCCGAAAAGCATGACAGCCATTCTCAGTGACAAGGTTCCAAGCTCCTTCACCAATGAGAACAGCCAAGTTCATATCAGCAAGCCAGTGTGACAAGCTTCTCCTGGAGATTGACCAGCACATATCTTCCCCTCCAGAGCCAGGAAGCAATGCTCAAAGCAAGGACCACAGCTCCCGCAAAGTTCGTATCAGGAAAGAAGCTTGACAGGCTACTCCAGGAGAATCCATGGCAACCGGAGAACCAACAACACTACACCTTCCTCTTCAGTTCTTTTTATGTTGGCAGCAATCCTCAGGGGGGCCTTCCACACCCAGCATCTTGCTAATCCAGTTCAGCTGAATGTTACAAATTGACTACCAGTTTCAGTCCACCACGGCATTTCAGTATATTAATATGGTGAGGAAGTAATAAAATATATATGCACTTATATATTTAGGTGTGTGAGTGCCAAGGTGTTAGTGTAAATTTTATATACTCAGTGAGTTTTCTATAAATGTAGCCCCCTCTCCACTTTGTCCCTTTTGTGCTTAACTGGAGGTAAAGGGAGGAGGGAATTGGGGTGCTGGCATGAAGTGAGCCAGGGTCTTAATGCCATTTGTTTTTTTTTTTTTTTTAGCTGCTCTGTCTCTAGCAGAGGTTTGACTGTATTTGCCAGAAACCTCACTAAGGCACTTTACCTTTCCCTGCCTGCCCCCCAACTTTCCCTACATCCAGATTGCAGTAGAATTTAGTACAGATGATGACCATCAACAGAAAGGCCAGGGAGCTCAGGAGCACTAAGGTGACAGTGAACCTTATTGATGATGTTTCCCCTGTGGGAAATGGCAGGCACAGGAGCAATGCTAAAAGTTCTCCTCTATAGAATGGTGGTGAGGGGCACAGCCCTCCACCCAGGCACCCTGGAAGCACAGGGCTGTGGCTGCTCTTCCTGTGCTTCATTAGGTCTTTAGCAAGAAGCTTCTTGCCACAGCTGCTAAGGTTAATTAAAATATGTCACTTTCTTCAGAAGAAGAGATTGCATACTCATCTACTACCAGTTGCCAAGGTCCATGAATCTGTCCCAGGACACTGTTCCAGGACAGTTAGGATGCAAATGTAGATGTCCATGAGCAGTTTAGAGGAGACAGTGATGTGTAAGATGCAAATGTGATGATGAGGAGCAGACTGGCAAATGGGGCCACCAGGAAAATGAACCACAAGGCAAGGTGGATCATCCAACTTCCCAGCAGGTAGTAGGAGGGCTTAAAAGCATCTGTGGAGGGCGTGCATGAGCTCCTTGAAACCGGCCTCAGGGACCCAGGTGATGTGGTTGGTATTGAGGCACAAGGACTGCAAGGTGCTCGGTCCTCAAGTGGCTTTGCTGGGTACTGTTTTTAGCTGCAGGGTGAAAATTTTGAGTTCTTTCAATTCAGACAAGGTCTTTGGGTGGATACAGCAAGCAGAAACTGAAACGACACCCAGGATTTAGAGGCAGATGTATTTTATGTCAATGGGCACTGATTGGTATTGTCCCCCAAATATCAGGCCCTGATCTCTGGTGGTCTAGTGCTTATATGGGATAAACAAACAAAGTACAGAGGCAGGATGGCTTGTTAATTGTAAATTGGTTTTTAAAATATGTACTACAGTGACCAACTGTTTCTAAGAAAGAAAAGTAATAGGAACTGCAACTAGAACTATTACCTGGGCAATTAAGACTGAAGTATATTGGTGGTGAGGAGCAGATATCTTCTGTTACACTTTAGGAAAGAAAAGTTCTTTTTTTGTCTTTTTGAGACTGAGTCACTATGTAGTTCATTCAGGCTGGTCTTGAGTTCACTTTGTAGCCCAGGCTGGTCTTGAACTCACAACAATCTTCCTGCTTCAGCCTCCCGAGTACTAGGATTACAAGTATACACCTCCATGCCCAGGTATAGGAAAGGAACATTCTTAAATGAATCTTTCTGCAACTGAATAATGTTGTTTATGCTGGCATCCAATGCTCCTATGGAACCCCACTTCCACATGTCAGTCGCCTTCTCCTTGGCAGACTCAGGGCCTGGGACCAGGGTACACCTAGAAATATGAACTGCAGCACACACAGCAGGTGACACAAACTGTGCATCTTGGTGCACTCAGCCACTATTAGCACCTGCACCCTGGCACATGGAGCCCTGCAGTGTGGGGTGGCTGTAATTTTATGCTAGGCTGTGACCATTGCAGGTCGTAGGGTATCTTGGTTACTTCATTGCTGTTGAGACAAAATATCTGGCACTCAGAGTTAAGAAAGGAAAGGTTCATTTAGCTTACAGTTTGTGGAGATTTTCGTCCATAATCAGTTGACTCCAAGGCAGGGTGGCACATGGCAGAGAAGCAACCATTTGTGGCAGCTGGGACATTGGAAGACAGCAAAAACAAGAGCAAAGATGGGATCAAGGTTTTTTAAAAATATACTGTATGTAGTCTATCTACCCTACGATGGGTGTGGCACCCTAGAGCCAATCCCAGCTCTAGACAATAAGCAAATCACAAACTCTAGATTTAGTCAACATCAAAAGGCCCACCTCCCATGACTGCATGAGGCTTCAGGGAGGACATCAAGATACAAACCATGACATTCTGCCCCAGGCCCCCCAAAGACTCATGCATATTCCTTCATGCAAAAGGCACTTAGTCCAACTTTAAGAGTTTCCAAACCCTAAAAGTATCAGCATTGCTGAAAAGTCCAAGCTCCAAATCTCCTCTGAGAAGGCAAACTGTTAGCTGTGAGGCCCCGAACAGATGAAAAGAAAGTTAAATACTTTTAATACTTAATAGCACAATCAGCATTTTAAAAGGTGTAAACAGGAGGATATAAGGGATTGGGACCAAAGCAAGTTTAAAATCCAGCAGAGGAAACATTAAGTTCTGTACTTTTATGTGTAGAATTTGAGGCAATCTGCGGCAAATTTTGAGCTCTAAAGGGCTTGCGTGGTCTTGCCCCTGTGGCACTACTGGTGGCTGTAGCTCTTGAGGCTTTTTTTTGGTGGTGGTGGGGCTTCTCTGCTCTCTCTTTGTAGTTTTTTTTTTTTTTTTCAGATGATCCACGTTTTTGGCTTTTAAAAAATTTGGGGAGTTTTTCTTTTTGTTGTGTTTTTGAGACAGAGTCTCTCTATGCAGTTCAGTCTGGCCTTCAACTCACTTTGTAGCTCAGGCTGGTCTTCAACTTGCAACGATCCTCCTGCCTCAGCCTCCTGAGTGCTGGGATTAGAGGCACACACCACCACACCTGGCTCTTTTGGGGTCTTTATTGCATCTTCGGCCTTACTTTCACAGCTTTACACATTGCCCCCTTAGGGACACACTACGTGTCTGTCAGGCCTTTTGAAATCAGGGTGAAAGCCTTTTAAATGCCATAATTCTTGAATTTTGCATGCGCCTAAAATCACAACCACATGGATGATGCTAAGGTCTACTGATACTTTCGGTAGTCAGGCTTTTTTCTTTCTTGGTTGTAGGGATCAAGTGCCTAGCTCACTTAGCGCTCACTCTGAATCCAATTTGAGGAACAAATGTTTGGGGCTCTTGTTACCATTCTGGAATATGGTGTGGCTACTGCCATTGTGGAACATGGTGCTCTGTAGCTTTTTTTTTCAAAGCAAAGTGTTTTATTTTTTCAGTTTTGAGGCTGTACAGCATATAGTCCTGCTGCTTCTTGTGATGCCCACAGGTCATTTTTTTATTGTCTTCTTTTTAGTAATCAGGATCTCTCCACTCCATCTTTGCAGTCTATAGCTTACTGGAGCTTCCTTTTTGGCCAAACTCACAACATTTTTAATCATTTTGTTGGGCCCTTTGCTATTGCTTTTTAACATAAATCTGGCTAAAAACCCCCAACAGTAGCCATGCCATTGCCTCAATATTTGACTTGACTTGAATTTTTTTGCTAGATTAATTACTCCAGTGCCCTTAATCTTAGACTCATGCTAAATTTCTGGACACAAGCAAAATGCAGACAAACTTTTTGCCAAACCATAACATGCATTGTCTGAGGTACAACAGCCAATGCAGCTTATTTTCCCAACAGAAACCTTTTGAGTCTGGTTTTTACAAGCAGGATTTTTATCAACCTTTTGGTCTTTTGAGTTCTGAACAGAATCCCCCACATAGGCCTAAGGCATTTTAACTCTAGTGGGTTTTTTTTGGTTTGTTTTTTTTTTTTTTTTTTTTTTTTAGCTGAGATCTCTGAACCTTTTGAAAATTTTTTATAAGACTTTTCCAGAGACCTGTGAACCACATGGTTATTTATAGTCATGGAACCAACCCTGCTCTTGGCACCACATTTTGTCTTGGTTATTTTTTGGTTAATATTGACACAAAATATCTGACACTACAAATTAAGGAAGTAAAGCTTTATTTAGCTCACAGTTTGTGGAGGTTTTAATCCATAATCAGTTGACTCCAAGATAAAGTGGCACATGGCAGAGAAGCAACCATTTATGGTGGCTGGGGAGGCAGAAGACAGCAAAAGCAGAAAGATACAAAAGGGAGAATAAGCCTTTTTAAAAATATTGTATGTAGAAGAAACCACTCAAGAATAGTGAGCTGGGGAGGACAAGGAAGACTTTCTAGGTTGTTGCTGAGCACAGCACACAGATGATGCTAATAAAGTGCAAGGAGGAGGTGTGTTTTTGTTATCTAAGTTATTTTATTTTTTATGGTTCTTGGGATAGGGCTATGGCCTCAGGAAGTGTAGTTGAGTACCTTTCCACTAAGAGACCCTCACAGAACAAAATGTAGACTGGCAATAAGAGCAGAGCTTCTGCTGTGCAAATAAAATGGGAGTAGCATGTGAAGTTACATGACGCGTTTCTTATTGTGACAGCAACTTTCTTTGTGCTAACCCAGTGCCTTTTGTCCTCTGACCACAGGATTGGTTCAGGAATCGGAGAGTCAAGTATAGGAAACTTCAGCGGGAAGCGATGCTCAGCGATGTATCACCTGCTGTCCAGCACCAGGGGGACGTCCAGGACCAGAAGCACTCACATGTTCCCCTTCTCTGAGGCCACACTGCCCATGGGTTTTGCTCTTGGCACTAAATCTGGGCCGTGTGTTGGTGCCTGTGCCAATTTGAGGTTTTGTTCTCAGCACTTATGTTAGCAATAAAGTAATGAATTTTCAGTACATTTCTTTTTCTGGCAATTCTGGGGATAGTGGAATATAAATGTAAATTAATGTGAACATGTCATTTAAACAGAATGGTGATGAGGTCCCCTGACACTAAGGGACTCTCTTAAGTCACCAGAATGAGGGCTTGCATATCAGTCAAATGTCATGGTGAGTTTTCACTGACCTTACTTAATTCTTTGTCCTCTGAAGCCTTAGCACCACAGTTCACTTGGGGACCTCCACTGTGTGCAAGAGACACCAGAGCAGGTCCCTGGTGAGAGGATATTGTCTGCACACAGGGCTGGGTCTCACCCAGGCTGAGGAGTTAAGTGGCAACACCAGACTCTGAGAGCAGCTCCCCATCAGTCGCAGAGGCACAGCCACGTCCTTTGCTCCCAGTCCTGCTCTGTCCTTCTTGCTTGGAGCACATAGGGTGCCAGGGGCGGCTGTAGAGCAGAGGTCTTGCTGCTTCTGGAGAACCACAGGACTCAATCCCACAGAGGCCAGAGAGGCCACTGTGCCTGTCTGTCCTATTGCCAAGCAAGGGGCTCAATCCTCACAGCTTCCCCAGCTGGGAAGCTGAGTCTCTGTCCTTCCTTGTCCTAGCTCAGCTGTAACACTCCTGTGAGGTCAGCAGGGGGCGCTAAAGCATACCTGAGCAGAGGGACTTCCCCCGCATCTCTGTGTTCACTCTCCTTTTCATTCTTCCTTCCCTCAGAGCTCAGAAGTGGCAGCTGTTTGAGTCCTGTGAACTTGGAAAGCACGTAGATTTTTCTCTGCAGTCCTTGATGATTAGGGATGATTCAGTTTGCAGAACTAATTCTTTTTTTTTTTTTTTTTTTTTTTTGTCTTTTTCCTTTTTATCGGTACCAGGGATCGAACTCACGACTGCCTGCTTGCAAGGCAGGCGCTTATGCCGCTGAGCTAAATCCCCAGCCCCCAGAACTAATTCTTTATTTCTAAAGCAGAGTGAAGAGACTTCATAAATTCATTAGTTCTTACTATTGAGAGGTATGATTAGTCATATTCATTTATGTATAAATATGAAGCAACACACATATATCTTTCATTCTATAATTTTAGTCAAGAATCAGTAATACAATACTCATTGGTCTATATCATTTTGATATTCATATGTGTGTATTTTGTATATTAAAGGGACATGGATCAATGAATTTTGTATTACTGACTCATGACTAAAATTTTAGAGAAATGTAGATCTCTTTGTGTCTGAGATAAATATATGCTCATTTTATAGCCCAGGCTGGTCTCTAACTTGCTACAATTCACCAACCTTAGCCTTTAGAGTTCTGGGATTACATGCATGTACAATGATGTGCAGCACACAGTGTCACTTTTTATTTGACAGAAATTGGTGTAAGTATTTGATCTAGGGAAGACCAAAGAATCTAAAAATATTTAAAATAATTTTCAGAATAAGATACAATGCCATTAATCCTACACAAAATCATCCACCCCAATCATTCATCAAGTCATGGAAATGTGTCTTTCAGTTATAACAAAGTTATTAGTTTAATTAAGCATTCATTAAAATTCAGGATCAGCATATCTGTATTTATTTATTTTTCCTTAACAGAATCTTGGAGAGGACTTTCAAGCTTTTCTTTCTCCCTCCTGTCGAATCTTACAGAGGAGGCTTCCTGCACTGCAGGGTTAGGCTGAGGCACCGTGGTGTGGCTAGTGCAATGTCTCCAGAGCCCATCTCAGTGGCAGAATTGTCCAGCTGTTTCCAATCAGCCTGCTCCCATTTGTGTGTCAGGGTTTTGCTTTCACTCTAGAACATATTTCATGAGTCAGTAATACAAACCCATATATCTCTGCAGGGACCCTCAGTTCCCCCAGAGCCCCAGTGGGCCAGAGAGCCTAAAGGGAAAGCGAGTGTAGACAGCAGAGGGCTGAAGTGGGAGGGAAAATCTGGCAGGCAGAGAGGAAGGGGTGGAGGAGGGAGGCCGTGCATGGCCCACATTAAAGGAGACAAAGCAAGTGATGACGGGGTTGAGGATAGTCAGAGGAGGAAGGAGAGGCACAGCTAGTGAGAAGGGAGAGATATTAGAGGGGCCAGTTCAGGGGCACTTTGTGATGGCCAGAGAGGCCAATGATGACCATCCAAGTTATCATTGGGAAAATCCTGCCCCAAAGAAGGAGGCACACAGAGGTGACAGAGCACAGTCAGGAGCGGGCCAAGAAGGGGGTACAGTCAGCTGAGAAGTATGGGGGAGAGAGGATCACATAAAACAGAACTGGCTCACAAAACCAAGGGAAACCATTTTCTGGCCCAAGGAGTGTCCAGTCACACTCCAGCCTCCCCTTGGTGCCCAGGAGACACCTTTCAAAGGAGGCCTGGGGCTCCAGCCCAGCTTCAGGGGCTGTGCTGGAAATCATAGTGGTGAGGTCCAGTCTGCTGCTCAAGTCTGTCTGGAGCAATGCTTCTGGCCTGTGGTGCATCAGTGGACCCCAAATCCCTGGGTGAGAAGGGAGGAGCAGGATTCACATGTGTGTGCTGGGGATCCTGGGTGAGAGATCCTGCAGTCTCCTCATGAACCTGATATTGTCCAAGTGACAGCATCCAAAACTGGTAAAGATAAAAGATTTTCACTGACTTGGTGGCACACACAGTGGGAGGTTGAGGCACGACTGCAATTTGAGGCCACCCTGGACAATTTAGTGATCTAGCTACATGCTGTCTCAAAATTATAAATTAAAAGTGGGCTGGGGACATAGTTGACTGTGAAGGTGCATGTTCAATCACTGTTACACTCTCTCTCTCTGTCTCTCTCTGTCTCTTTCTATCTCTCTGTCTCTCTGTGTCTCTGTCTCTCTATATATAATCATATATATATATATATATATATATATATATATATATATATATATGATTGTCACTGGTTCGATATGGAAAGCAATACCTTCTTTCTTCCAGGGGGACCTACCAAGTTAGAGAGAAGAGGAGTTCAAGGTCAGGGAATACACTGAGGTCAGAACAGACCCACAGCCCAGTCTCCCAATGGCCAGGACACCCTGGGCCTGCATGGTATGTGCAGCCACAGGGGAGAGGGTATGATGGTTGTAGAGAGCAGAGGAATAGGATTGTGCAGTGAGGCAGGGCCTGACGTCTCCTGAATGCAGTCTGCACGAGTGGGTACTGACATCTCAGGACCCAGGTGGGGCTCAGGAAATGGAAAACTGTTAAGGGAAACCAGGGTATTGGAGGACGCTGGATAACCCAAGCCAATAGGATCCTTGGCCAAGCTGGAGCAGCATGATCAGACATTCCCTGGCGATCGGAAAGGATGAGCACCCTGAGTAGATACTCAGAAGGATCAGAAATGCTAGTGGCTAAATGGGCAGAGGTGCAGTTTTGCTAAAATGGGACCATGCAGAAGCACAGTGAGGAAGCCACACACCCAGGTCCAGCTGCAAAAGAGCTCAGAGGCCTTTTAGTGTTTGGTCAAGGAGAGAGTCTGCATCACCACTGGGAGTCTGAGACGTACAAGGTGGAGCTTCTCCATTCCATGAGCTCTGCCTAGGAAGACACGGACCCATTTTTACTAAAGAATGCAATTTTTAAAATTTTGCATGACGTTCACATATGACACCTAGAAAAGTTGACAATCAAGAATGTGAAGAGATAATGTTAATAAGTTCTCGGTTTATAGGTGTTCATAAATGTAACTAATTACAGAGGTGTAAGAATAGTTTTTGGAGATGTCCCATGATTGCAATTTGAGAAGTTGGGAGGCTGAATCAGGAGGATAGAAAGTTGCTGCCCTGCCTGTGCTGTATAGAGAATTCAAGTTATTCCTGGAATACAGAGTGAAATCGTATCTCAAAATTAATAATAAAATCTAAAAGAAGGTTCAGTTTTGTAAGGGGGAACTGGGAATCTTCTGCCTCCTAAGCGCTATCACATTGCACTGTGCATGCCTTGCTCTGGCCCGGAGGGTACAGCAGTGTGGCAAACGGTTAAAGGACCACTGCAATAGAGAAGCACACTCTCATTTCAGCTGATGCATCATGTGCTTCGTTTCACTTTTCAAGGTCACAGAATTCAAAGCAGTCACACCAAGACAGTGCCTTGCCTAAGAAGTTCAGCATCCTGTGTGGCTGCATCACTCTGAGGAGGCCACAGGGCAGGCTGAAGAACTCCTGCTGATCACTGGCGAATTTCTGGAACACAACCTGTTTCAGTCTCTGGATGCTAGCTGGTGCAGCTCCATATACATGGCCAGGAGGCCAGGAACACTGCTACCCTGGTGATATCACAATTACTGAAGCCGTCCTCCACATGGGCCATGCTGCTCCTCAAGCTAATCACACAAGTGGCCATCAGGCTCCCCAGACTTTGCAATCCCTGTTTCCTCTGCTGACATCACCCACTACCAGTGACACTCCCTAGCTAACAGAGTGTTTATTTAGTGTCAGCACCCTGGGCAGTGCTCCCTGGAAAGCCTTCACTCTTTCCCAGGACAGAGCCCTCTGGCCAATACCCTTGTCTTCTCTGGCTGTGCTGCTGCTGGAAGTAATTACAGCAATAGGGCGCACTTCTAGGGACACAGCATGGTGCTCCAAGTCTATTAGACCTTCACAGCTACAGGAACTAATTTCAAGGAGTCCAGTGTCATTTCCAGACACAATATGCACCATTTCCGGTGGTGTCTGGATGCACAATGGAGCTTGAAATGCTTGGGCTTCTCTACCCTTTCTCCTGGGTGTGTCTGCCTTCAGGCAGGCTGTGATTGGCTCTGTCATCTGCTGAGCTGGCTCAGGGTCAGCACATTTGTAGTTGTCAGCTTTTGAGTGTTTCCAGTTATCTAGCAGCCATGCACATGTCATACTCAAGACATTTCTAGGTGGAGGATGTGTGGGACATTTGGAGATGGAGGTACTTAGGCCAAGATACTGAGAAGGTTTTAGGATGCTAAGATACTCACAGGCAGCATGTAGTGAGTGGTGGGTGCAGTCTCCCAGCATTCCCAGAGGAGATGTGGTCAGTGTG